TCGGTCCAAAACAAACACACAAAAAAAACCAAAAAGCTATAAAGAAACCCAAGAAAAAAAGACGAGGCTTGGGATACCCTTTCATGGCTGTAAAAACATCTTCTTTCAGAAAACTTTCTTAGAGTAACGGCGCTAGGTAGCGTCCTGGAATACTACGAGCATGGCAGTCGTTTAGGCAAACCATTGTGGGACTTGTCTTTAAAGAAATAAGGAGACATGTGTATAAATTACAATAACCATATATTTGTACTAGTGTAAATACTAGCAAAATACAAGAAAATGCCAGGAAAATTACCGACAAATACCGACAATTACCGAAAGCATAGAATAATTCTCTTATTAAGAATATATAACTTTCATGGTATCTAAAATATAATATGTTTAGGGCATCTGATCGAAATCATAGCACCCTCCATCAGGGTGCAAGCGCCATGGTACAATTTTGATCCAATTTCAAGCCTCGCCTTCAGCTCGCTTTCCAGTCCGCTTCTCGGCTTGCTTTTCCGCCTGCCTGCTGCCTGCTGCTCATCCAAGTTGCTTAGTCAACTTGGTGAGTAATCGTAAACTGAATGCAGCTTTGCTTAGTGTTTTTTTCTACATTTTTGGTGGGGAAAACCAAAACCGAAACCAACCGCCAACTGAAAGGCCAAAGTCTGGCGAACGGTCTGTCGGGCGGTAAGCGGCTTTTGTGTTGTAAGACGAGTAGAATGTTGGACCGGTCCAAGACAGCTGCCTTGCTGACTGGACTGGGTCTGAAGCGTTCAAGTGTCACTTGAAGGAGTCATTAACCCGGAATAATCTGTCTGCAGTGACTTAAGCAGTCGTCCAAACAATCATCCTGAGAACGGTTTTCAATTAAGCAGCAGACAAGGGACACTTCTGGCACCTGAAATTAATTAAAGTGTAGCAATTCAATCCATAAAAGACTCCTCTCAATGTCAGCGGTTGGTTGGTTTTTCGTCTCTCTTTTTTGTGGGTAAACCCTTGAAAATCATGTCATCACATTTCCCCCCAGCAGTACAAAAAACCCATCATCAACGAATTCAACTTGGCCAAATGAAATCACAGCCAGTCGCCGTCGCCTGCCTTTTCATATGTTGTATGCCCCTAGGATTTCCAGCGTTCCCTTAAAAAAACAAGCTTCGAAATGAAATGCAAATGGGGGAGAGCCCTAAAAAAGCGTTGCAGCGTCAGAATAAAAAGCGGCTACATATGCCTGTTTATATGCAAATACTACTGGTACATATGTGCGTAAACATTTGGCAATTACTCGGAGCCAGAGCCGCATCTCTCGAACAGGAGCTGTGGCCGCAGCCGGAGCTGAGACCGGTGTTCAGGATTCGGGGTCTGTTTTGTTATTTTTTTCCACCACTCAGCCTGGAGGCTGATGTTTGTTCTATTTGCTGATATACAAATACGTATGAGAAAAATAAATTATATACAGTAAATCCTTATAAAAAATATAAAATCAAAGAAGCAGGGAATGGGAGCGACCTTTCGTCGTGTTTGGCTTTCGGGGATTTTCAATTTAAACTGTTATTAAATTTCTATACGGTTCAGTGCGAAAAGTCGTGAAGGATGTGCCTGGCAGCAGTCTATTTGTATATTTTATTGATTGATGTGTGTAGGGTCTTCAATCTGTAGTAGACTATTTTGCCACCACTTTCAGATTATTGCTCATTTTTTTCCCACCGACTCCGGCCCGCTTAGATAGCATTTGTTATGCAAATTTATTTTCGATTACTTGTTACCAAAGATTTGCCTCGGATTATGCAAATGTGTCAACCGTAGTAGATGGCGAGAGTGCACGAGTATACGTTGTATCTCCATTATAGATCTACATGATTGCTGCCTTACAAGTGGCTTATTACGGTTAGTGTTTGTCAGTTGTCAGAAAGTGGGCTAAACGTTGCTGAAAATAAAGCTACGAGAAATGGAGAGAAACTTTGCATATTCTCATGGACATAAAAGACGATGAGTTGGAAAATTTATTTGCTCCTCCGCTGATTGTTCATATTTATGGCTAACTCTATTGATTTTGCATCGAACCGAATTTCATTGAGCCATTTTTCCCGCATTGCCGTTGACTACGACGAGTATTTCATAACTTTGTTAGGAGTATTTGCATAATTCATTTTTCTCCGCCAGCTTGCGGTGGTTGCTCAAATGCTATTTACAATAATTAAACCCGGCTGACTTGTGGTTTAAAAATGCGAAAATTGATTTTGATTTATATTTATCGCCGGTGCCAAGACATTGCCGAAGTAGGGCAAGGAAACTCTTTGGGGGGTATTCCGGCCAGGCAGGAAACCGTAATTTGATTAGACTGGATTAGACTAGAGAAGTATCTTCGATCTATGATGACGTTTCAAAGAATTAGAATTTAATTATTGTTATGCTGGATATCCATCCTTTCCTTTCCTTTCAGGTCCATTGAAGGCCAGTCTCTGGCATGCTGTGCCCTCATTTATTATGACCTTTTTACTCATCTGACACTTTTTGCAAATGAAATCAAATAAATAAATTCAATTTCCCACCGACTTTTGGCGCTGGGCCCTTTTTTTTGTACATGTATATGTAGTTCCATAAAATACAACTTTGATTGCATTCGCGGCTCCATGTCTCATGTCGGAAAATGAAATAAAATGAAAGAAGAAAAAAAAGACAAATCAAAAGGAAAATGGAAATACATTTATTTGTATTTGGTTGACTATTTTTATTGGCGGTTACCTTTGGTTCGCTGCAAATTGTTCTGTGTGTGCGGTCGTTTAATTGAATAATTATAAATACATATATATTGGCATGGTGGAATTATTTTTTGCACTTTCGCATAGCTTGTAAATCAATTGCCATTACATCGGCATCCGCTATATGGCACGGCTGCGCCGCATACAAATGTAACAAATGGCCAAAACTCCGATGCGCCTTGACAAACTCAATTAAATTACAAATACGCTTCCCCTGCAATCGACAGTGCGCTAAAAATGTTGACAAAGCATCGCGAAAAAACAAATGGAAAAAATATCCAACACAAATATAAATTGTGCAGCAGGTCGGCGTTAATTGCACTTTAAAAAGCCCCAAACAAGTGCCAAAATGTTGAGTGTAATTTATTGCAGATGCAATTGTCGGCCGGTTAACGAGTGCTTCACATAGAACAGGCCACGGCGGCACTAATTAGAATTTTTGGCGAAACAATTAGCAATTTGCCGGAAATTATTTCAGTTTCCATTTCTGAAAACATTTCAGACTTTTATTTAATTTGAAATTTATCGAAATTTTTGGAATATAAAGTTTCATACTTAAACTCGATGAATTGGTCATCTGTATTGCAATGCCATACTGCAAGACCTCCAATATAGGGGAATTCAGATGATTATTCGCTAAGTTTTTTCAAGTTGTACGTGTAAGTAGCCTTAACGAGTTCCTAATGATATTTATAGTATTGTCTATCGGCCAAATGTATACTCTCATGTGTTTTCTACACTCTAATTTTATCTTACTCCCACCTAAAATTGTCCAGTTAAGCGTGCGTCCAGTGAGTTGTATTGTTATGACCAAAGTTTATTTTTAATAAACAAAAAATGCCTCATTTGTGTTACTCATTCTGACTTGCAAGTTCTTTGAGAACTTGTGCACAGATTTACATTTTTATGATCTCCGATGAACAGAAATCGATGCAAAAATTAATTCATGACAAAGGAAAAATGTTCGCAATAATGTTTGATGCTTTATTAAATGAGTACGACTATAAGTTTTCTGCAATTCATGTGAAATAATTAACTTAAGCGGACCCAAGAGACGACGCCTTGACCACATTCATTTTTTTATTCATTACTTTTCCCATAACCAAATTATTCCGAATTTAAGAGCCACTCTTTATAGTCCGCACATAATTTTCGTTCAACCTCTTTAAATCTGAGCTTTGCGTGCGCGTGGTAACCCTCTGCTTTTGCTTTTGTTGAGCAGGTCAAAGTTAACTAACGAGTGAGGTTGAGTTTTGCGGTTTTAATTGTGCCAAGCCGGTGGTGTTGGTGTTAGTGTTGTTGCTGCTGCTGCTTTTGTTGTGGGGGCACTTACTCTCGTTGTTGCGGTTTGTGGGTAAATTGGAAAGGTTAAGTACCCGGTTAGAGGCAGAAAATTAAATAATTATGTACAGGCGATTGTAAAAGACACTGCAACCGGTTGTGTTTATGAATTCAGCTGAAGGCCACTCAGAGATGGCCACAACATTCTGCGCAGAAGACACTAACCTACAACAATCTCAACTCAGTTAGGGCACACACATTAAACGAAACTTCGTTTTGGCTGCCACATGGAAGGTTTTTCTGCTCTTTAACAGACGAAGCAGAAAAGTTCAAAAAACCCCAAACAAAATAAGAATGAAGCCAATTTCATGCACGCCGAAGTTTGTATACCCTTGAAGTTGAAAGAACTTGTTGGTTTTAATAGAAAAATTATTTTGGGAAAAAGTCTTCTGGGTGATAGGTAATTATTTAATTTATGTTCGAGTGTGCCATTCCTAATCCTTTTATAATTCTGAAAGGTGCGTTAAAAACATCTAACTAGATATCTAATACCCAATCAAAGGGTATAAAAACATGGCAGAGGCAGGCAGCAAAAAGTCAACGACAACAAAGGCAGAAGCAACATCAGCCCTCATATGGAGATTCAGCTTCAGGTTAAGCTTCAGCTTCAGGTTTTCCTTCAGTTTCAGTTCAGTTTTAGCCGCGTTTGCATTTTAAAGCCGTTGCCGCTGACCTTGGGCTGCATAAATCGAATTGGAGCAGGTCGTTGACGAAGCTGGTGCTTCAGCGGCTGCTTCTTTTGTTGCTGCTGCTTCTGCTGCCTGCTGCTGGTGATGCTGACTGGCGGAGGGAATGTACATATTGTTGGGGCCCTGCATTATCTTTTTCTTTTTGTGGTTTCGATGGCATCCTTGAAACATCGAGTGGAGAAACCACTTTACCCTTTCCATTTATAATGAGGATTGTCGTTACCTGTGTTGCTGGGGTTCTTAAGGTTCCTGGTCTCGTTGCAGGTTGTGCAGGTCACTGTTCACTTCAGCAGATCAACGGGGAAACACAGGAATTGTTGTATAGGTTTATTTTTTTTTTTTTGATTTTAATTTATTTTGAACTTTTTTTGTTGCTGACTAAATTTTGACTTTGCGCGGACAAAGTCAACAAGAGAGTAAAGAACACGTTTGCTTTAAGTTAACCTGTTTTGGCAATGCCCAAAGATTGCGATTGAGCAAAGATTGAGCGCACATACACAGACACACCTAACGCGCACACACAGATACGCGGCCACTCACACAGATATACACAAAAACTAGACGAAACGAACGTCGCGCATGCGAAATATGAAGCGTGGTTGCTGCGGCCGTACAAGTACCTCTGTATCTGTATCTCTTACTTGCACAATTAGCCAACAAACTAAGGCACAGAAATTGCCACACTGAGACACAGCGATTTTCAAATGCTGCTGGCCCGGCCCATTCACAATCTCAATTGCTGTTTGCTCTGATTTACGAGTATTTTGCGACAGAAAAAACACACCTCAGACAATTCGTGTATTCCTGTGCAACCGTCTTAAAACTCAACTCAGGTTCTTTCGATTATCGCGCTCTTTCGACTGTTTCCGCGTGCTGCTGCTGGTGCTGCTGCTGCTCGACTCGGCGACGTAAGTTCAACTGATCGCAGTTGTCGAGTCGGTGCTGACAGAATGCGCGGGCCGCTAGAGCCCACTCCGACGTCTTTTTAAAGTTGTCTAAACTGCCCGGCGCACAGTGGCACACTTGGACTTTTTCTCAACAAAACTTGTAACTTCTAAACTAATCATGTTCTCGGAACAATTTAAAAGTTTTTAAAATTAAAACCCTTGCAGTTTGACTACAAAATGCTTTGTAATACACGTATTATCCAAAATTGTTGGAAAGGTATGAATATTAGAATGATAACAATGAGTTATATTAATCATACGAGGAATATATACAAAAAATTGTAATTTACAAAAAAAAACATTTTTTTTAATAATTTTTTTTCTTAATTGATAACTTTATATTTTTGTTGAACTTTAATTGAATTTATGGAAACGGAAACCTGCCGATCACTTCAATGGTTTGTGTCTCTGCTAAGCTTGATGATGAGATCAAATGGGAGCGGGATGAGAGCGAGCTTACATAGTGCGAAAGAGCGAAGTACAGAGCCGCTTGGTGGAGCGTCTCGCTGCCGAGGGTTAGAAAACAAGCTAAAAGTTCCACTTTTGATCGTCAAATAATTTTTAAATATTTCTAGTATTTATATTTATATATCATAGAGACTCGTAACTTTAAAACTAATTAAAATTGATATAAAGTGCATTAGGCTTGGATATAGTGGCATTGGCCACCTGAATGGCCTATACCAGGGTCTTCAGGTCGCTGATCTTTCGTCTGTCTACTAGGTTGGTGATTTCCAGGCGCCATACCAAATGGTATGCTGCCCTTCACATCGAAGATTGACACCTGCTGTTGCAGTTGCTACAGCTCCAAACCGCTTCAGAACGTCTGTAGGGCCCCTTCTTCTGTCCGACTGCGCTTGGACATTTTTCAGTTGCAGTTTCTTTTGCTCGATGGTCAATTTGTGGCTTTACCTCAGTAATGCGAAGTTCGTCAGCAGGACTTCGTGAACCTCGGAATTCTTCACCAGCTCCAGCATCAATTGGGATTCGCTTAGCTGGCGATCCTTTTGGGAGTTGTTTGGAGCACAAAATATGTTTCCGAAAAAAGTCTGTTTGTTCAACTAGAAACCAACTCTCTGTCTCCGTTCCTCAATCCGAAATATGGACTGTAGAAACGTAACAACCTCTTTAACCAGTTGTATGTTTCTACAGTTCGTATTCCGGAGTGAGGAACGGCGACAGAGAGTTTGTTTCTACTGAAGCAGAGAGACGTTATTTCAAAAAAATTTGTGTGTTGTTCCAAACAACTCCGAGACAAGACTGACTATTTCTAATATAATCTGGCATGACTACAATGGTCAGCCTACTTAATCTCTACTTGCAAAATTGTTTTTCTTTTTTCCAATAAAGTTTAACTTGTAACTAATTTTATTGTAATTTTTTGCTTAATTTTTGTACCGTATCTGGCTTGCTCGCTAATGCATCGAAATTCCCCAAACAAAAACTTTATAAATGACGATAATATTGTGCATTACTCGCACGAGTATGACACCCGCACACCCACCCAGTGCACAATAGACCAAATCCCCACACTGCCAGTACCAGGAACAACAAAGCAAAAACAGCGAACTCTTGGCCTGGCTTATGTGCGTTGGGCACGCAAATCGGTTATTAGCTATAATGCATACACATATTATATAGATCAACATTCACACACCCGTACACCCGTACACCACATATCTGTATCTGTATCTGTATCGCATATTTTTGATGGTGCATTACTGTGGCTGCCTCGACTGCTGGCCGGCAGATAAAGGCGCAGTCCCCCAGGCCCCAGTCCTGACTCTTCATGGGCGGCGGGGCCATTGTTCGGGGCCTGGCCTAAAAGATAAGCGACCCGAAGGCCCATTTGTACTAAATAACTCGAACAACAAAGAAGCGCGCAAACAAACTGTCTATTAGTTATTGTTGTTTGATTTGCAAAGCGCTTGTCATTTGTTAAATAAATGGACGGCCTTTGCGGTGCAGTCCCCTTGGCAAATACCAAGTAAGTGGGGCACGGACCCATTCAAGTGGCCAAAGTCTTCAGGAGTAAGCTAATATTATGTTTATGATTTAAGGAACACTCAGAATTTCAAAAGTTTTAGCTAATCCTGGATAGCTGCTGGCCTCCCCGATGATTCTGATAAAAACTTTAAGCTCAAAAAACTGCCGGAAAGCCTCAACAGCAGCAGCAACGACAGCAGTGGCTGCTAAGCATGACAAACGCCTTGGTTCCTTTGGGAACCTCATCCTACAGCATCCTATGTGTGTGCCGAACCAGTCATCAGCTGTCAGTGCAGTCGGTTGAGACTTCAGCTGCCAAAAAACGAGTCTGTAGTGTCACAAAAAGAGCATGAGCGGGGGGTTGAACAAAAATGAAATGACATTGACATTTTGAATAATGACGCAACACAATTTGAATGCTAAGCTGGGGCCACCAGCAGATCCCTCTCTCTCTCTCTCTCTCAATTGGGGCCGGGGCCAGCGGGAGACAGAGATTAGCATCCAAATTTTGAAGGATGTTTGCTGCTCCCCCTGCTGCTGCTGCTGCTTTGGCCAGTTGTGAATTGGCTGAACTTTCTTGGGAGCGCAACACTAATGAAGAATGTCAAGGTGTTGTCAAGTGCATTCCCTGGGAGACTCGAGAGAAGAGGAATGTCATTAGAGCTAGCCAAGTGACCCCAAAAAACATTGCAGTCCCCATCCAGAGCCTCCGCCTCTGCCTCTGCTATTCCTCATCACTTAAATGGCTAAATGGAGTAACAAAGCTCCGACGACAAGCGAAGCAGCGAAGACGATGCCAAGTGGCCATAATCACAGAGGTGCAATTTGCAAGAAGGACGGCTGAAAAGGGAGAGAGGAAGTGCTGCTGTTGCTACTGCCGCTGCAGCAGAAGAGGGCCAAGAACAATGATAAATTCTCGCACAAAGTGCAAAGTACAAAATAAAGACAAAACAACAATAGTTGGAATGAGCAGCGCGAAGGGAAAATAGTTGGAAAAACTAAAATTAAACTTGCTCCCAGACTCTGACTCTGCTCTGCTGCACTTTTTAATATAATTTTTTTTAGCCCTCCTCAGAGTCCTACCTCCCTCCTACATTTTGCTTTAAGTTCGGATGGTTATGGGGAGCTGGCTGGCGTTACGGGGATGTCTGCCAGCCCCGCTTTGAGTGTTGAAAAAACAACTTGAGATTGTAATTAGTTTTTGTTGCTGCTGGGTTTAACTGAAAGGAAACTTTCAAATTGAACCGAAGCCGACACGGAGACGGCGACGGCAACTGCGGCGGCGACGGCGACGGCGACGGCGACGGCGACGTTGCAGGACTAGAAGTGTATGTGCTGCCTCACACCATCTCCGCGACAGGAAAGCAAAATATTTTTGCGGTTTCAACTTTTACACGCTGCCCAACAGCGTCTCCGTCTCCAAATTGCAAATATGTCTGCGAAAAAAATCTCATTAAGTATACGAAATGTTGTACGAGCCATGTCGTTGAGAGCGTAAAAATGCAAAAGGGAAAACCGAAAGCGAAATGGAAATGAAAAGAAGGAAAGTAAATAAAAATTATGAATGTCGTTTGCACAGAGGAAAACGCCAACTAAAGGAATGGAGAAGGGAAAGGCAGGAGGAGAAAATGAAAGCAAAGGAAAGCAGAGCCTTCCCCCCACTCTTCTTTGGCAACAGGTAACTCTGCCTAGGATGGAACCAAAACTCGGACTTGGCCACGGACTGGGTCAAGTTTGAGTGGAGTTCATTTTCAGTTCCGTGTACACGCAGTAGTAGTTATTTTTTTACGCAAAAGTTCACTGCGGTCATGGGAATGAGGTCGGTCCTTGTGGGGGCAGGATAACGACCAGTTTGGGGTCTTGTCTAGGTCATTTGGTTGTAGATGAGCCCTATAATGTGCGTAATTTGCGTGTGATGAGGCTTCCTACAACATTAATGGAGAGTTTTACAGACCGAAAGTCAGATAATAATTCCTTCAGTGTAAAACTAAGTCGGGCTAAAATAGAATCAGGGCTTGAATGTTAAAGCCAATTCAATTAGAATGTCAGACACCGTTCAGCACATTCCACAAGCATTTGAAATATTTGACTTTATAATTTTCAAAATTTTAATGTTTAATTAAACAAACTGGCTCAATTAAAATGGCACACCCCGAACCACAAGCTCGAGAAATGGAAGCAAAAAGCACACAAAAATTGCAGAAAAAAAATGAGATAGAATTATTTTATTTGAGAAAGTCGCTTTCATTAGACGATTTGCTGGCTGTGTGGCGCCACTGCCACTGTCACTGCAGACTCTGGCCTGCCTGCCTCTCAAAGTCAGAAACGTTTTAACCTTTTAAGCGCCGCAGTAATGCGACTAAAGCCGCCATCTAGGGGAAACTAGGGAGTGGTTGAAAATGGGGCACAGGATGCCAAGGACACGCTGCTGCTGCTGCTGCTGCTGCTGCTACTGCCGCTGCTGTCTCTGATGGGTTTGCAACACATTGAGGTTACGCGAAGCGAAAGCAGAGACAGACAACCAGACATCCAGAAGGACAGACAGACAGATGGAAGTCCCAGATTCAAGCAAAGCCATGTTCTGTCAAGATGAGGTTATGGCATGAGTTTATGGCAATGCGGAATACTACTCGTGTTCTCGGATGCCATACACCAAATGAGACCTGAGTGGAGGCAGCAGGCCTTTCACAGGCCACACTTGAGGCAAATGATCAAAGACAATGCACCTGCAGAGAGAAAAAGATACTAATGAAAGGAGAAAAAGGAAACCTGAAGTCTGTTCAAGGACCCCAGCTATACAAATAATAACCCATATTCATATTACGTCGCGCCAGGATACTTCTCCGCTTCGCATTTTTCTTAGCTGCTAATTAGACTTCAAATGTTAGTCTGCTCTTAGGACGGGCCAGTTCTCTCCATCAGAATTCCGAATTTTCTGTCTGTCAGTCAGACCTTCATGGCGTATAC